ATCGCCGCAACTTACGGAGGCAGCTCGGCGAACGACGATGCCGAAACATCTGTTTAGACCGAAAAACGCAGTCTGAGTTGTGACATTAAGCAATGCAAAACGTCACGCTTGTGTTGCTTAATGTCACAACTCGGACTGCGTTTTTGGTCTAAACATATGTTTCGGCATCTTCATTCGCTGAGCCGCCTCGGTAAGCTGCGCTGATTGGCTTTCTGAGTGTTGTGCGAGAAAGTAGACGCATGGGCATTTTTTAGAGTGAGCGTAGCGCAAAATGCGCGCCTTTTATTGGCTGGCGACCAGGAACTCAATACCTGCGACCAATCAGTATCAGTGTGAGCTGCGCTACGCCGCGCTCGTCGACGTTACGTAGAAGTATAAACGTACCTTTAATCCGAAAGCATGAACTGTCCTATGGAGCAAACCGGAGTCATCAGCTTTTGAAGCCGCACCAAACGGCACCTAAACTGTCCTGTCCTAATGAAACAAGACCTGCCGTCTGTAGCACCGATTTGATGAATAGGCTCCCATTGGCTGGCGCGCGTCGTAGTTTTAAGGAACGAGGCTACCGTTGGCCCTAGCGCGGCGTAGGTCCAAGGAACGCCACCAGAGAAGCCCTCTCCATGGCGGCGCAGCGCACGCAGCGACCCGGCCGCTGTTAAGAGGGAGCAGCTGGCCCCAGAGCCTGCACGGGCATACTCCGGAGAGGCTGTACGGCTGAGCTCATCAGGGTGCGGCCACTTCACGAGAGCGCGCGCTCGGCCGTCGGCCGCTACCTCGGCAGTGGCCCAACGTGGCAGTCAACGCCAGTACGCCGCAGACGAACTAAGGGAGCGGAAGAACGACATTCATGCTTACGGATTCACAACTCACAAGAAGTGATTAGGTGTCCTCGCAATGTTTTAATTCAAATATAAGTAAGTTGCAATTGGTTGTACAGCTAAATATTTGTCCTGTCGTAAGGCACTCCACCTACAGAATCGCGTGTCCCGACAACATTACAAATTAAAAGAAAATATAAAAAACGTCATCAATCCTGGTTTATGTCGATCTTCATGACAAGATCCAGACCAAAACAACAAAAAAAGTGTAGCTTAGACAGATAACGTAATGAAGAGCATAAGAAGTCGCCGTATTCATGGGTTTCTTGGATGAATCTCCATGCGAAATGTAAAAAAACCCCACGGCTATCTACTTTCCAACTTAGGAACTAAATAGGGTTAGCGATAGTTGAGGGGTCTCATACTCAAATTTGCGTGTTACGCAAAAAAAAAAAATGAGCCGCAACGCTTGACGCGTTTCGATGAAGAGCTGAAATACGGACATGATTAATTGTTATCTGAAATCGCTACAAAGACCACAGGCTCAAGCGCAGAGTACTAAGGGCACGGTTGCCGTGCGATTACTTGTATGCAAAGACACTATCAAAAGCTTAGAGTTCGCACTGCTAGAATCCCCTGTCTCCCTTTTTTTAGAGCACAGCTTTCAGGGGCCCGTTTCCGGCTTGAGTGGCGTCGCCGTCGCCGTCGGCGTAACCGCGAGGTCACGTGACCCCCAAGGTCACGTGACCCCCCTCCCACCCACCCCCCGAGGTCACGTGACCTCAAGGAGTCACTTATCCCTCAGTACGCTTCCATTCTCCTCCTGAAGAGCTGCGCTCTAACCGGCGTTACAGGAAATTCTAAACGGCTTTCATTTTGTTTTCATCAACAATGAATATTTTTGTCTTCACTTCAGTCACTGAATGTTCTCGTAGGACCACATTTTATATTGTCAGATTCGACTCGGCTATTAAACTGACTGAATTCGCGGATTGAGTGACATTCCTGCAATCTCTAAGCTCAGCAGAGAAAAAAAATGTGTAGATACACATAAAACCCAATTGTAAAACCGCTGGACATCCGATGACGTACAACGAGTCGGAAGCTGATAGCCACGTTGACCTTCTTTATATCGATCATGAGGTAATCTGGTCTGCAATTCGAGAAACCGTTCCGCTATTAACCTGGCTACTAAGAAGTCTACACTAACCTCGGTCTGATTTGATTATATTGGGGGGGATCGGTGGCCGAGTGGTCTAGCGCACACCAGCTCGGAGCACGTGGAGCGAAAGCTCGCGCTGCAGAACCCAGGGATCCTGGGTTCGAGCCCCACCCCTGCCCGTTTCGATCTGGATGAGCATCGTACTGGCGTGCGGTCGTGTATCACTACTGCGTGATGCACGTTAAAGACCCCAGGCTAGCGGCTGTACCGCACTGGCTAAATTTCTCATCTACAGCTGGGAGACTCGTCGCCCCTGTGAGGCAGACCAAGTTCTAGGCTGTATAAACACACACACAACCCAATTATTATTGATTATATTGGCCAAGTTCGCATTATAAAATATATCGGTCGAAGTGCCGCGCGTCGCGTTTGTGAATCAAAACTTCGGAGTTCGGGTCACCCTGGGAACGTTCAGTGACGGTGGACACTCACAGATTAACAAGTGCAGGGCGTGTCTAATTGTGTTCTCTTTCCTTGCATCGCGATTCGCTCTTCGGGCTTCTTATTGTCGAACGCCGCAACCTCATTGGCCGAAATGCGAAAACGAGGTGAGTTAAATGAGTTAAAAGTGTATCTAGTCTTCACCTCTACGGGTTGCCTAAGGGACGTCTCCTAGGAAACAGTGAATAACCAAATGCACGTGTTTACGCAGTTCGTTAGTTGTGTCGCATCCTGGCTTAGAGGTGCGCTTTCCTCCAGCTAGGAGAATCACGCCCGTACTAATGTTCCGTACTTTGTACCACGCATCTCCTGCCGTCGCTCGAGATCATGTGATAATGTGCGGAAGTTAAAGACAGTTCACGGCAGCCTTCAAGAAGACAATCGCCTCTGCAGAGATCCACGGGAATCTTGCAGCACAGCGAGAGTTCGGTGTATCGGAGAGTTCGGTGTACGCTACTGGCGAAGCCAGAAACAAAACGTCGCGGCGTGCAGCAAGGCGATGAAAACTTCATTTTGTGGAAGAACTGCGGTGAACCCTAAATTGGAAACAAAGGTGGCAAATATTATTCAGGATCTGCGCGCCAGATCGCTACCTGTGACGTGGTAGTGCATCAGTACGAAAGTCGTCTGGGTCGCTCGTGCTCGTGCAATTCAAAGGGACGGCATCGTCCTTTTGAATTGCGTCAGTGATTTCGTCATCGGACGAAGGTTCTGAAGAACCTGAGTGGTAACGCTCGCGCACTTCGTGTTTTATTGCCTGCGAAGCAATTACATAAATGTGGCGTGTTTTCTCGTCCTTTGGTATTCTTGGCCAATTTCGTTCTCAAGATATGGTTGCATTTTCTTACCATAAAATGTTTTTTCGCTTTTTGCAACTTGTAAGTTAGGGGGTCTACCTATATTCCAGTTTATACGGTACGTGGCTAACTAAAGTACACAAACACGCACACACACAAGCACGCGGATGCATCCACACACACGCACAGACACACACACACACACATATATATATATATAAATCCATATTTGATTATTAAATTTAGTTGAAATATTGTATTTAAGAACTTGAATTCTTACCTCCATAGTTTGTGCTCCAACTGCACACTGAAATAAACACGCAGACAAACACACGAATCGGGAGCTACCGGACAACTGTTGTTTTACTTCCACTGGCTGTTTCAAACCGAATCGGAAATGGAGCGGCATTGCAATAGGTACGCGTGCTGATGCAGCCTTCATGTACGAATCGCGTCTGCGCTCAATTTCACAGTGGTGACGTCAAAATGCTAGTGCTCAAACTTTGATCATTTTAGGTGATGTTGTCCCTAGCGACATCTTAAAAATGCTTTTTTACTCCACTGCTCGCTGTTGGTTTCTGTGAGCATTAAAGGGGCCCTGCAACCATATTTAAGCGTCTACCTTTTTTGGGGTTTCCACGTCTCTTGGGGTTTGGGCAAGCCAGCGGGTACGGAGAGAGTAACTAAATATCAGAGCGTCATATTTTAACCGGACGACGCGGAAGCCTCCTCCACCGACGAGGGCGACCCGCAGCACCGAGAGCGCGCAAAATGTGACATCTTTGGTCCTGGGCTTACTACTGGTCAGAGCCGCTAAAAGCTTCTTTTTAGTCGAAATACAAAATATATGTAGCGCGAACCGTTTCAAATATTTATAAAAGTAGTTATTGTTCAGTATTTTAGATCAGAAAAGAAACGGATGCAGTTTATAATGCACGGAAACAAGAAATGACCCGTCAACATACCCGCCACCAAGCGGTGGAAAAGGCGGCGCATACTAGAAAGGAGTAGTGGGATCAGGCGCCGACACGGAAAGGTCCCGAATGTACGCGGCGGCGCTGCGGTCGTTTCTGGACTGAAGCATCCGACCGGCTCCGAGCGTTCCGAAGGCCTTTGGCGAGCTTTGCCTTGCGGTTTGGCCGTTTCGCGGTATTGCAGTGCGAAGTGGCTCCCATTCTGAACTGATCTTTACGCTGTGTTTCCTGTCGTTTGTGGCGAAGAAAGTTGTTGTGCCCTACTGTGTTTATCTTTCGCCTCTTCTTCTTTGTGTTGTCCGATCTATCGCGTTATTCTTCAATACATCCTCTTTCTTTTCCTCTTCTGTGTTTGGTTAGAATAAATCAGTTCCTCAGGAGACTCTGCCGCGATGGTCGTGCTCTGATAGTGGTCCACGAACCGCCCTACACTACATTATTTGGCGACGAGGGTTAAAACAAGCTTTTCCTACGCTGGACTGAGCCTCAGCGAGGACTAAAGCCTGACCTCTACGGTACCCTCTGTATTGGACAGTTTTCTGCGTTTCCCGGTGGAACCATCTTCTTCGCACGATTGAAGTCAAGATGGCGACCATTTCGAACGGCACCACTGGGTGCTGAGAAGCCATCTGGCATCGTCATGGCATCGGGCGGCAAGGTTCCCCCGGAGTTTTTGGCTAAGTTGGGACCTCCAGCCATTCCATGGGAGCGGTGGATAACACTGTTCGAGCGTTATTTGGTGGCAACGGGCGCCCGAGAGTATCCTGCAGAACGGCATCAAGCGATGCTGCTGAACTGCCTCGGCGAAGCCGGCCAGCAGATTTATGACTCACTGCCAACGCCTGAACCTGCTGTTGATCAGGCTTTATCACCGCTAGCAGCAGCAGGTGGCGAGCAAGGTGTACGCGCTACTTCTGATGTCTACAAAGAAACCATCAAGTTGCTGGAAGCCGAATTCACGCAGCCGACGAATGTGACGCTGCGGGAGCTTCAGTTCCACTCACGTAGACAAAGAGAATTCGAGTCTCTTCAGGATTTTCTAACCGCATTACGGACGTTAGCCGTCCAGGCAAATTTTGGAAGTCAAACGCAAGATTGCATCCGCAAGCAGTTCATGATTGGGGTAGCATCGAAGGAAATTCAAGAACGCATGGTCCTTGATGCAGCTCTTCCGTTCGACGTAGTAATGCAGACCATCATGAACCTTGAGCGGTCACGACGCGAAGTTCGAGAATGGGCTAATGCCACCGCGTCAACATCCAGTGGGCAGACTCGTCAAGTTACAGAGACGTCAGCGAGCCGCGACAAAGCCCGGAGACTATCTGGCGAGAGACAGTTCGAAGGGCGCCGAGGGCATTCTCCGGGAAGGACACTCCGACAGACCCCACATCAGAGCAGTCCTCCACAGCACTCATATTATGAGTCATCGCCGTCATCTATACAGAGGGCATCATCGCGACCCTTCGCAAAGCCGGGTGCAATCTCAAGCGACACGTACACCACACGTGGTTTGGAACCATGCGTGACCTGCGGAGGTAGCGGGCGTAACCCGTATTCCTGCAGACAGCAACGTCATGGGCAGGCGTCCGACCATCGTCGGGACTTTAAAGTGCAGTTCAGCCTCCCACGAGACGGTTCTCAAAACCTACAGGCTTCACGACAGCCAGACAATTTCCGCCGCACGCGCGTCTGTACGAATTGCGGGAATGGCCCACACAAATGCCAGAGCTACGACACCTGTCCCGCAGACAAAAATATTGCTTCAACTGTGGCCGACGGGGTCATCTTGATCGTGTATGCCGGAGTATGCGTCGAGATCGTCAGCGATCTCAACGAAAGCAAGTGGAGAAAGTCCTCTCAGATAGCGATGCCTACAACGATGACGATTATGACCCCGACATTGTATGTCACATTAGTGAATCTTCGAAGGCGAGAATCTACATTAGTGTCAAGGTCTTTGGAACGCCAGTGAAGTTTCTTCTTGACACCGGATCATCCGTCTTACTAATGGATAAGACCACGTTCACGCAATGGTTTGCAAGTGACGCCCACGTGGTTCCTCCACCAGCCACATTGTTGAACTACTCCCGTCAGCCCATACAAATCCTGGGAGATTTCAAAGCGATGGTGACATTCAGAGAACGGCACGCGCAACTGCTGTTTTATATCGCAGACCGCGGAACCTCTTTGTTGGGCATGGACGCAGTCGTGGCGCTCGACATTAAAATGAGCGGAGCAACAAGATCTTGCTTTTATACTAAGACTGGTAACACCGGTGAGGCTTCTGCAAGTACGGCCGAACAATCTCCACCGTTGTCCTCACACACACTGACACCCAAGTCAATGGCAGTAAAATCAGCCACGACCCCGAGGGTGGACGACTCGTCATTGGCACTGGTGGAAGAGTGGACCGAACGGCTTGCACCTCTAGTGGAGGCAAGCGTGGCTCCACGCGCGCACCTTCGAGTTAAGTCAGTGTCTACCCCTCCGAAGCTGCCAGGAACGCTTACACACTTCGAGCATCTTTTTACGCCAGGATTGGGCCGAGTCAAGGGAGCCGTCTGCAAGGTGAAGACCCGCTCCTCAGTAATTCCCGTTCAACATCGGCTTCGGCACATTCCCCAAGCTGCTCGACAACCAGTTTCTGGGGAAATTAAACGTCTTGAGGAAGCTGGGGTGATCGAGCGTATCAACGCCTCCGAGTGGGTATCACCAATAGTAGTGGTCCAAAAAAAGATGGCACTATCCGAATGTGTGTGGACCTTCGCGAAGTATACAAAGCGGTAGTCATCGACAGCTACCCGCTTCCTCACATTGAAGAACTGCTGAACGCACTGGATGGAGCGCAGAGGTCTCAAAACTGGACCTTGCTGCAGCATACCATCAGGTTATGCTTCATACGGAAAGTCGCGATTTAACAGCGTTTGTTACGCACGAAAGACTCTTTCGCTTTAAGCGAGTGTGCTTCGGATTAGCTTCAGCACCAGCAACCTTCCAGCAGATGATGGCTAAGATCTTGCAAGGCTGCCAGGGAGTGCTGTTCTATCTGGATGACGTGGTAGTCTTTAGCAAAAACCAACAGGAGTACCTAGAGCGCCTGCAGAAAGTACTCTTGCGCATCTCGGAAGCAGGTCTGAAGCTCAACAACAAATGTATGTTTGACGTCACAGAAATTTCGTTCCTAGGGCACAAAGTTAGTGCTGCCGGGATTTCACTTTTCAGAAGAAGGTCGACGCTCTTCGTGCGGCACCGATTCCTACAGACCTGATTCAGCTACGGTCCTTCTTAGGAATGCTGGAATATTATTCTCGTTTTGTCCCGTGCCTGGCTTCTCAAGTAGAACCGCTGCGAAAGTACTTGCGCAAGGACGTCCCGTTCATCTGGGACCAGGCAGCAGATCGCAGTTTCCAGAGGGTGAAAGTGCTACTGTCCTCTGCACAAACGTTGAAGATGTTTGATCCTGCGCTGCCTACCATCGTCACTACGGATGCTTCAGCTTACGGTATTGGCGCAGTGTTGCAGCAGCGATACGGACAGGAAATTCACCCGGTAGCATTTGCGTCACGAACGCTTACTGCTACTGAAAGAAAGTACTCTGCGAGAGAGCGAGAGGCGCTTGCGTGTCTGTGGGCCTGTGAGAAGTGGCACACATACCTGTGGAGTCGCCACTTCACCCTACACACCGACCATCAGGCTCTCGTTGCTCTCTTGGCCACGCGAGGGACCGGACATCGACCACTCCGTATTACTCGGTGGTCTAACCAGCTTCTCATGTACAACTTTCATGTAGAGTACCTGCCTGGCGCTGAAAACCAAGTCGCCGATGCTCTCTCCAGACTTCCGGTACCGGAAGACGAAGGAGGAACAGCGTTTGATGAAGAAATTGTGTCCTTCACCTCTCTAGAGGATGAGTGCATATCGAAGGACCAACTTCAACAAGAGACGGCTGACGACCCCAAGTTGACCGCCGTAATTCCCTATGTCACCTCCGAGTGGCCACCACGACGGGCGTTGGCTCCCGATGAAGCCATCTTTCATGACACTAAGGACACACTTTTTGTGCACGATGGTCTTTTGTTACGCGGCGATCAGTTCGTTATTCCCTGTAGCATGAGGGGAGCCCTCATCGGCCGAGCGCACGAGGGCCACCCTGGTATCGGCATGACTTTGTCCCGACTCCGAGAGCTCTACTGGTGGCCCCGCATGAATGCGGAGGTGAAAACGGCGGTCCAGGCCTGTGGCGTTTGCGGGTCTGCCGACAAAAGTGCGAAGACGTCACCAACACCTCTTCAGCCTGTACCTCTCACTGAGCGACCATGGTCGAAGCTTGGCATCGACATTGTTGGGCCATTTGAAACATCACCGCCAGCGCATCGGTAAGCGATCACACTGGTGGACTATTTTTCAAAATGGCCGGAAGTTTACTTTCGTTCAAACGTCACGACAAGCACAGTGACGGGGTTCCTGCGTTAATCTTTTCTCGGGAAGGCTACCCCGAAAGTATTGTTTCGGACAACAGACCCCAGTTCACCTCCATAGACTTTAAGAATTTCCTAGCTACGCGAGGTATCAACCATCATCTTGGCTCCGTCTACTATCCACAGGCCAACGGACAAGTTGAACGCTTTAATCGCACTTTTAAGTCGTTTATACAGTGCGCTTCCCTGGAGAAGCGACCGATCCACTCTGCCGTCTTGGATTACTTGCACGTGTATCGCTGTACGCCTCATGCCACGACAGGATTGTCTCCTGCACTCCTGCTGCATGGACGTAAGCCACGCAACCGGCTCCACATAATCTGCCTGTCACCATCGCGGTTCCTGCAAACTCCAATGGAGGAGCTACAACGCCTGCGGTGTCGAGTCAAGAGAGGGCAGGAGAGCAGCAAGCGATATACAGACCAACGGCGAGGAGCGAAAATTTTGAAGCTTCAGGTCGGCGGATGGGTGCGTGTCAGAAAACCAGGGAAGGTAAGAAAGGGAGAAGAAGTTTTTGGACCTCCAATGCAAATTGTTGAGCGCGTGGGTAGATGGACCTACAAGCTCCACGATGGACGCATCTGGAACGCTTCCAAGCTTACGGTGGCGGCTTTACCTAAGGAACGTATCGGCAACAAGTTGCCAGAAGAAGTGACAAGATCGTTTAAGGGGGAGCCTGCGAGCAGTACTACGAGGGGCAGTTCAATGAACCGTCATCCTCATCACGAGTGGCAAGCGCCCAGATTCAAGGAGGATGCTCAGCGGCAACAGCAGCAGTTACGACCGCAAACACCCTTTCCTTTCCCAGTTTGCCAGGAACCTGTGTTGAATGAAGACGTGTTGTCTCATGATGGTCTGAGTGGATCCGATCAAGCTATGCAAGGGGATGATCCTCGTCGATCAAAACGAAACCGTCGACCTCCAGAGCGATTTGGAGACTTGAGTCTGTAACTCGCAGTCCTGTGTTTTAGATGGAAGTTACGAACCTTGAGACGGATTTATTTCTAGTTTAAACGTTCAAATTACCTAGTTTGTTTGGGAAGAGTACATGTTTAGTATGAATGCGTAAAATGTAGCCTTGGCCATGGGTAGCTTAAATGGAATAACGAATGAATTGTGTGGTAACGCTTATTCATTGTGTAGAGTATGTATATGTAGAGTGTAAAATAATAGTGAGACGTGCTTTTATTGTGTAAACAGAACATGTATATGTACAGTGTAATGTAATCGTAAGAAGTGTTGATTGTTTTCTTTCCTTTTATTATTGATGTATGTTTGTTCGGGGCAGGGGAGAAATGTTGTGTCCTACTGTGTTTATCGTTCACCTCTTCTTCTTTGTGTTGTCCGATCTATCGCGTTATTCTTCAATACATCCTCTTTCTTTTCCTCTTCTGTGTTCGGTTCGAATAAATCAGTTCCTTACAAGACCCTGCCTGCGATGGTCGTGCTCTGATAGCGGTACACGAACCGCCCAGCACTACAGAAGTGTCATGCCGAATTGAAGCTTAATCGCGCAGCAAAGGCAATGAGAGCCGCTCTGGCCGCCCGCTGCATACAGCCTATCCAGAACATGCTTTAGTAGCGCCCTCTCGCGCCGTCGACACGGAGAGCGGCAGCCGTGAGCGCTCAATGAGCTCACTACGCCTCCTCTAGTTCACGGACACTCAAGCAACCAAGGGCGTAATGATGGAGGTTATTTTTTGCTTGTTTTAGGAATTTCAATTTACCTATAACTTTTTAGATAAGGCGAATTTTGAGAAAAGAAAAGTTTAAATAAGTTACTACGTTCAGCGCGCTCAGGTTCGGTGCAAATTAAAAAAAAAAAGTAAAAAAGTCCTTGCAGGGCCCCTTTAAGAACTATCTTTCTCATTGCCGATATAAAAAGCAAAATAAGCTAGGAGCGCGAGTTCTTAGCTTAAAGGGAGGCTTCCACCGAACGTGCATGTAAGCTGCACAGCGCCTTCCGCAGCTCGTTCGCTCTTCGCTTTTCTCTAATCACTCTGAAACCGGATCTCAGCTTTGCTTCTCGTCCTAGCAAGTGTGCTGTCGAATCTCGAGGCCAGTGCACCCGACGGTCAATCTGCCATTTGAATTTTATTTACGCAGAGGTGATTGAGCCAGGTCCATGTAACAGCACACCCATGGGGTTTAGGTTCGGATAACAATCGTCTAGGAAAGCATAATTCCCTCGAATACTTTTAACATTTTTGAAGATTTGCGAACTTTAAAAGTTCGTAATTTTTCACTCATGCATATAATGTATTTTAGATTTTTTTCCCCAATAACATAAGGATCCCTACGTAATCCTAAAAACTCATTTTATTATTTTTGCTCCACATAGAGCAGAATATATAAAACTTGAAACTAATATTTTTTTCTCTCCAAAACTATAACGCTTCAATCGCACCAATTAACGGGTCGATATTGTCTGTAATCTAAAAATAATACGAAATATGACCCTACTATGAAGTTTCATTAATGCTAAATTGGAAGA